GCGCGGGGCAGGGGTGACGAGGGGGGCAGCGCCAGCACAGGGCAGCAGCTTTGCTACCGCAGCGTGAGCAGTACTTTTGCCTGACGCACACTTAGCAAATATGTATTGTATATGTAAATACATAGATATTACTTAGTTGCTTCCCCTTGTAACCTTTATCTGGCTAATTTGTTTCTCTGCTGCTAGTGCGCAAGGACAGGTGGTTGGAAAGATGTGGGCTGAGCCGTATCCGAGTCAGGTATAAAAAAAAAAAAAACAACAAACAACCAACAACAAAACCCCAACCCAAAAATCAGCTGCAAATGCACAGGATGCCGGTGCTTAGGATGAGCAACCCTTTGGATAACCGTAAAGCCTGCTAAGTGCAAAAGTGGCCCTTCCTTGTGGAACCCCTGACTGTGATGCTGTCGGCATAGCACCCGGTCTTGCCATCAATCACGGGTACGCTCACCAGTGGAACAGGAGAACCAGGCACAAATAAAAACACACTCAAGTTCAGATGGGCATCAGTGAACGTTGTCTCCCCTTTCACATGAGCAAAGCCATTTTGAAAAGTGACCTCTTATTTTTTTCTGGACTATTTTATTAGTAGTAAACAGCCAGGAATCTCACACACACAGTTCTCATTGCCAGGAGTAAGTTCTTAGGTACTGACAGGCTTCTGCCATGCCAAAGCTGAAATGTAGATTACAATTGTATTCTCCAGTATTCTACAATACTGCAGTACCTTCTGCAATGGAAAAGAAGAGGGTAAATAGAATAAATGGGATTTTTACTTATCATTTTTGTTTTAAATAAATGTATTTATGGATTCTTGAAATACCAGTTTGTTAGTGCAAAGTAACAACTTTAACATAAAAGGTTCAAAGCAAAGGATGATAAAAAACACAGATATCACAACAACAAAAAGTATTTCATAAAGCAGCAACACTGTATTTTTCTTGGGAAGAAAAAAAGGTGCAGCTGGTAATAGCATTCATATATTTATGAATAAATCTAAAAACTGGTGCCAGCTCATAATTTAAAAACATGGAGAAGCAGCACATCTGGCTGCTACTGATTAGTTTATTTTCACAAAAGAGAAAATCACCTAGGGAAAAACCATTTTGCTAAGTTCTTTCTGTGCTTCCCTCCTGCTCCTTTTTTTTAATGACGCCTTGTGGTTTTGTCCCAGCTGTATAACTTTAAAGCCAGATACCTTGAAGAGAGTTAAACAAAAACAGAATGCTATCCTGCACAATGCCATAGAAAAATCACCCAGCAGCTTGAATCTTTGACCTCTACTGTCACAAGTTTGTGTAACAATGACCCAGGAATTCACGCTGCAACATGCTGCACCTAACCAAAAAAGAGATTTAGAAACCTCAGCACACTCTATGCAATCACATTGCACACCTGGACGTTTTGCACATAGTAATGTGTTGTGAAAAGTATCTCTGTTTTAAAGTACCTTCTATTTCCATTTGAGAAGATGTTTCATCTTAAAGCTCGATTGATTCAGATTTGCACAAACCGAAGCACTAGGTGCAATTGTGTTAATCAGATCTGGCACCTATTTCCCTGCCACAATGAAATAAAGCTAAAAATCTTTTCCTGTTGTGCTTTAGTTTTTTTCAAAGAGAAGTGAAACAGAGCTTTCAAAAAGGTGCCCTGAAGTGAAGTTCCTATGGTTTCCAGTGTGCACACCAGCACTCTGTTTAGCCAACGAATATAGAAATTACTAGACCTGAAAGGCTGCCAGAGCCATCTGAGATTGATTTTGTCCCCTTGACATCCGTGCCTTGGCCTACACTTGTAACACCTATTGCCCTGCAAAGACGCTTGGGATAACAACAGCACAAATGGACAGGCCCAGGGACAGCGACTGAGGTCACTCTGCTGGTTTCACCTTCTTGATTCTGCTCTAGGGGTGGAGCTGTGACATTCGGGTGACCTTCCTGGGATCAGTGTTATTTCACACCAATGGGAATTACACCTCTGTAGGAGCTGCAGCATTGGCCCCATATCTCATAAAAGCTATTTGTCTTACACTATACTTTTCATGTACCAAAGACATGTCTCTTAACAAGAGTGTTCCAGCAAGCAACCATTGCATTAAAACCTCAAGAAAATCCCAGAACACAGACTACACATTTAAATGTTAATTTAAGTTATAGTCTTTGGGAATATGTTGATTCTAAATTGCTGTTTAAAATCTGGCTTATCATTTCCATCACTTCATACCAGTCAGCAGCCCCAACAGATAAATGAAGTAAATCAACTGCTCCTGGAATCAAATGACACAGTAAAATATTTTGCATCTTAATTCAGATATATGCATGGATTTTAATATATACATTCAATATATATCTTTAGGTTTTTCATTTTCACTTAGGTTTCATCTACTGCTCTTGTTAAGTCTACTTTGACCATATGAGTAGTAGGAGATGATCCTCCTTGGAGACCTTCCAAGAAAATCTGTGGTCTGGGTACATTGCTTGAGTTGTCACACTTAGTCTGGGTGCTAACATCTTTTGGCAAGTACACTTGGGTGGAGTTCTGTCTTCTCATATGGCTGAGATCAGTCTGCGTGGCATGAGTTAATTTGCGTCGCAAATTGGCCTAAAAACACAAAAGAATCAGATTAAGCAAAATTTTCGTTGAATATTTTAGCATAGTGTATACTTAGGTCTGTTTGTATATTTTTAAATCTATGGGCTTCACAAACTTGGAACATGGCCCACTTCACCGTACTATCAATGCATGGTTGCAACTGTGATTTGATAACTCCTGGGCTAACAGGATGTGTGAACAGCACTGTATGTAGCCCACACAATTTTAAGTCAGCCTCTTAACTGCTTTTATATTTTCCTTTGGTCATTGTGCTTCAAATTTTAAGCCTTTGTTTTGTCAGAAGAAAATGTTGGTTTCACGGTAAATTCTTCCAGTGCTTCAAATTAATTTCAATCAGTCTGAAAGCACACTGGCAGGCTTGGATAAATCTCTCTGGGTACCTGCAACCTAAAACAAGTTTGGGAATCCTGAATATTGTGGATAACCTAAGCACAGTATCAAGTCTTTGTCTGGTTTCTACCAAATGTGAGGATGTTTGGGGGTAAGTATCGGATAAAAGGGAAAAAATGCCTTCTTTCAAGACATTGGCCCTTGGCAAAGGGCAAGAGTTAAAGTAATTTATGTTTAAAGCTCTGTTTAATCACAGAAACTGCTGTAGATACAACAAAACTGCTTCTCAGAAAGTGTTAATATTACAAAGTCAGCACTTGAAACAATGAAATGTTCTTAACTCCACTGAGCTATGTCAGCAATGACGTGAACCACCATAAATCCTATGACATAATGTCATCAAAATATACAAAATACAGTCTCATGTGGCAGGATCCAGACCCCTACATGTAAGGGAGAAAGCCCCTGGAGTCCAGTCCAGTCAGTGGAGACTGGAGTCAGTGGAAGCTGGAGAGTTAAAGTTGGCCAAATTCAGTGTTTGTATCAGGGTGAGTCAAAATATTTGCCAGACTCCACTGGAATGGAAGTTGAAGCACCTTTATGTATTTTAATCTACAGCTGAATCTTATGCATAGTGTCATCAAGGAAAACACAGAAAAGAACAATAAGGAACCTACAGAAGAGATGACATGGAAAGAAAGACAGTATTTTAGTCTCTTTTTCTGAGGGTTTTAATGGCTATTAAAAAAAGAGCAGGCATAAGATACTGTTTTTTAAATTTATCCCTCTTGAAAAATGAATTTATGCTATTGCAAGGAACTATGCTTGCACAGAGAAACAAATGTGAGCTGAAAGATTTTACTTCTAACATCAAATAGGTGTTCTAACAAAGTCATATTTTAACACTCTTAACACTTAATATCACTACATATCTGGCTAAGTATGAACAGAAAAAAAAACCAGGGCATCTGAGCTCATCCTCTAACAAAACCCACAAATGTCTGATGCTTCCCTAAGGTATCAAATTCACAGGTTCATTGGTAGGCTATTTCTGTTATTTTAGCACTTTGATTCTAAATGTTGTATCACCTCCATATTACAAATTCAGCATAGTCACTGTAGACAAAATACTTTTGCATACATCTGGCATTTTTTCTTTCCACTCAGCATCACTAATCTCCTATATGGACAGCTGAGGCTAAAACACCCGTAGTATTTTAAAGTACTTTCTCTAAATATTTCAAACTAACAAGCTACAAATCTGCTTGTGAATGGTCTTCATGTTCAGCTATTGGAAAACAGCCACCTTTGCTTATGCTAAAGATAAACCACTGACCACATCTTACAATTATTTATGTACTTTTCTCCATCACAGAAGCAAAGGAAGCTTTTAGCTAGGCCTCTTATAAATGTAACTGGCTTCTTTACATACCTCAGTAGCAACTATTAGAATCATTTATAAGCCAGTTAACATTGCCAAGACTTCTCAGCCCAAAATTTTGTTTTTGTTTTATAACGTTAGAGATTTTGTGGTAAAAGGAACAACAGAAAGGAAATAGGCTGCACAGCAGAAAAAAAAAAAAAATCAACCCTCCAGTATTCTGTGTGCAGTTGATATTGGTAACTGCAATATTTCCTGCACTCACAAGTCCATTTTGATTGAATTGTGAAAATCAGGTGCTATACCTTGACAACTGCGTGTCCTGGCAAACCCTAGAAAGAAGCTTTTAAAATATATACTGTTACTTCAAAAGCTTTTGTGTATGTGACCAACCTTCTGTGGACAGACCGTGATTTTTCAATCCATCAGAAAATCATCATGATAGTATAACAAACTTCTCTGGCTTATATATACAACAGAAAACCTGCTTGCTCTATTTCTTACCTCTCTGGTCCTACATGAAAGAGGGATTTTTTTTTTCAAAGAAAGCAGAATTGTTTTTAGCAAACATGAAGAAGGATAAAATGAAAAGTATTTCATTATGCAAAAAAAAAGAAAAAAAAAATGGTCTCATGCTTGATACCTTTCACAGATGGATGTTAGCTCAAAGAAAGCTTCTGCAATGTCAAACACATCCAAAGGTATCCCTAACTGTTTTGTAAAAGGAACAAGCCTTAGAAAACTTTTTTCTCTTAGGATATTATTAATAGCAGGAATAATTAATAAATAGATATTGTTTTATAGGTTTAATTAATAGACCACAGGTGCTCTAGGAACAATACTGACAGTTCAATGTAGTATGCACAGGTGCTCTAGGAACAATACTGACAGTTTAAGCAACTTAGGCTAGGTAATTAAAAGCTAGACACAGATTAAGTATATGTTAAATATAACACTTTGAGGCTTTTCTCAGAAGTGTAAAATTGAATTATGATGAAGATTATTCAGAAGATAAGTAATCATGATGACCAAAGACTGCATCAGTGAGCAGTGGGTCCAAAGAGGAATCAGAATGGAACAATAAGAACTAGCTGAAACTGGAGTATGACGGAATTTTGAAATTGATGATGAATTGAGAGCTGGAAAATCACCAAAGATTCTTTGTATTGTATGTTATATCAAATATATAGAGGGTGCTTTTTGTTGGCTGTTGCCACTCACTGAGGTGATGGCCCAACTCTGAGTTGTTAATAAAGCAAGCCTAGAGATACCCACAATCTGGTGAAATCCGTTAACAGTTCTGTCTGCCAGTTTTACTACACTTTTCCTCCTCTTACTTGATGAGGAATATTAATATAAATTGCTCAACTTGCAATATAGTTTTGCTTGACACAAACCTTTACCTTTCTGCAACCCCCTTTTTTTTTTTTACAAAGAAAGTATATAGCAGTATCTTCAACTTGTTAAATTTATTTGTATAGAGAAACAGCTTTAAAATCCAATGCAAATCACAAACTGTTAGTACTTAAGGCAACTGAAACTTTTGTAATGAATAGACTTAGCAGCAGAAGCACTGCTCAAAAAGCTGGGGAAAAATATGGAAAAATCAGGAGAATAAGAAAGTCCAGACATAAGGAGAGAAAATACCTGTAAAAAAATACGGAGCCAGTTGTAATGAAGTGTATGTCTTTGAAAAAAGTCAGATTTATGTTGCAGGGAACAAAAGTTTACAGTAATTTATTCTGAACTTTTTTATCCAAAAATAGAAAATCCAGCAATAACAATACAAACCAATTTTATAGCTTTTCTTCTCAGTTCCCATTCATTCCATTCATAGGATGTCACAATAGTTGGAGGCAAGATATGAGTATCAGTTTGAGTACTATTATCACATTTTGTGGTTGGTTTCATCAAACATTTGCCTGCATTTCTGGCCTGGATGAAAAAAAACCAAACAACTCAAAGCCAAGCAAGGTATTAATGAGAAGAATACAGACATCTAAGAAAAATAGCATATGTATATGCTACTTTTTAAAAGCAAATAGAAACCTGAAAACAACAAATGGATAAGGATTTTTACATTCAACAATATTTCTGTTCCCCCTGTCCCTGCTAAAAAGAAGAAACTGTTGTGTATTCAATGGATTTAATTTCTGACAGAAAACCCTTTCAGCAGAGGCCACAGCTGAATTTTAGACTCCCACATCCCAAGTGAGTGCTTAAGCATATTGGATTTTGTTAAAAAGGGGTTCTATCACCACTGCCGCCATTATTTTATGATGCAGACACCACAGTTTGTCTTTATGAATGGACTAAAAATCACAAATCATAATTAGGAGAAGTGCTTACATCTCTGCCAGACCAGGACATAAACTGTATCTTTCTCACCAAGGACTAGTTCAGGACTACACTCAGGACTACATTGCTAGGGACATAGAATTCACGGCGGATCACAGAGAATGTCTATGAATCCAAATCAAGTCTTTGGATTTCACATAGTGGAACTGTTGCACTCATTATTAATGAGTCCCCTTTAATTTTGTAATATATTCCATAATTCTTGTCCCCGGATATCATTCCATCCTCATCCAGCACATACTGATGAACTGCTAAACTAAAGCTCCAGTTAATATGGTATCTGGCTTATCTTCTATTGCATTTATTTACTGTCCCTTCAAGCTACTTTTGCAAAATTCAGGAAAAGAAACATCAGACACAGGATCTTCTTAGACTAAGGACAAACAGCTTTTATTGCTGCCACAATCCTTTGGCTCTACATATTCTCCTATGAAGAGATAAGGTGAGAACAACATTAAGGGAAAATGTTTCTTATCAACTCTCTAAAGATCTGGAAAAGATGGACTTCAGACATTCTGTATGATAGGTAGATGATTATACTTCTTTCCTGAAGATGGGTATCATCCGTTCTCTTTATGTTCTAGAAAGGACAGATCAACCAGTGACCCAGCAGCTGTTCAGCAAGAGGCATGGGCAGTGTGTACCTGTGCATATGGAGCAAGGTATTCAAACTGGTGACAAAGCTCGAGCAGCTGAATTAGCTCTGCATGTTCTTTTGCTTTTTCTGCATTCAGTTGAATGAACTTATCTGGATCTTGAGCAAAGATGTATGCAGCTTCTTTGGAACTGAAAACATAGTATCTCTCCTTGTGCTTCAAAATTCCAATGGCAGGATTTCCTTAAAAAACCCCAAACAAACCCCACAAAATAAAGTAGTGAATAGTATGATATCCAAATACAAAAGACATTTATCAAGATTGTTTTCCTCAAGTCAGTTTCACTTCCTATTTTTCTGAAATCAGAGTAAAACCCTGAAAGTAAGATTTTAAAATACAGAAAAGTCTATTTTGTTAGGTCAGTACAACTGCTTTTGATCAGTTCACATCCAGCATGCCCTAGTACATGTCTGTCAGAAAAACAGCAGATAAAACACCTATGGGAAAGGCATAAGAAAACAGCCCATACCCACAAATGTTTTCCCTATAATCTCCAGCAAATATTTGATTGCAGGTCAGCAGTCTATTTATACACCAAAGGGCATAACACTGAAATTAACTGAAGAAGCAGAGGAAGCAACTGAGAAGCTAGACAATAAATGAACAAAGAAATTTAAATTACAATAAAGGCCAAATGACTTATATAGGAAAACACAAATTGAGTTCAAGGACAGTAGCAGGCTCTGCTTCAGCTGTCATTGCCCAGGAAAGACCTAGAATCACATAGACAGCACCTTGAAAATACTAAATGGCACTACTCAGTGGCAATCAAAAAAGAAAAAAACAATGTCAGGAATGATTAGGATGAAAACAGAGGGGGAGAAGAAAACCAACATTACAACAACCTATATGCTACATTTGTAATACAACATTTTGTTCCAACACAGCAGAATAAGAAAAAGTAAAATGGAGTTGGGAGTGATCAGAAGCTTGGAAGACCTTTCTCAGAAGGAGGGGTTAAAGAAAAAGGTCTCTGGCATTAAAAAGAAACAACTGAAAAGAAATAATATGATATGGGGTTATAAAACCATGAATTGCGTGCAATATAAAATTACTATTTGTTAATTTTCCTAATAGAAAGACTATCAGATCTATGATGAAGTTATCAAACCAGAGCTTAAAAGCATCTTAAAAAGAGGTTCCTTTTCATAGTATATATAATTATAATTGTGGGGCTCCTGACAATAAGAACATCCCATGGCAAACTCTAAATAGATTAAAAAAGCAATTAGATAAATGAAAAACCTCTATCAAGGATTATTCAACAGAAGGTTACAGACTCAACATTTATCTGAGGAAATCCCACAGCCACTAACTGCTACAACAGGGAAGGATATAATTAAGGAAGGATCATTCCTACTTGATTTCTCATAATCTTCAAGTGTTCATGACTGTCCACATCCAGAAGTCAGATACAAAGCTAGAGAGACCTTCAGTCCAACCAAGGAGAGTTATTCTCATGTTCAATATTTACACTGTCGTTAAAATGTTTTTCAATATTGCCAAGTAATGGCAATATTTTCCTCCCAACCTTCTATAGGCTTAAAAAAATTCTGTATGGATAGGTTCTATAAAGGATAGGGAGACAGAAAACATAAACTGATGGGGTAGCTGAAATAAGTCTTGCTTTCAAGACAACTGACCCTAGAAGAGACAAAAAAAAATTCCTATAATTGGTTCACTTAATCAAGTGCACTTTTCCATTCTTTACAAAGAAGATTTTTAATACTTGTAAACTAATGACTATTAAAAAATACATATGATGCTGGCATGAAAGGGTGTGTTTGCAACACAGAGATACACAAAATAGAAGGAATGACCGTTTTCCTTCTTAAAACCTTTCCTTATTAAAACACATTAACAACAGTAAACAAACCTGCATTCGGCTGCAGTGTCAGTTATACAGACGCACATATAGCAGAAGGAAACATTTATCCATCCTGTCTTGTTTCTGCCTCTGTTTGCTCCTGCCTACTTGCTCTTGAAGTCCTCCTACCTTCTATTTATGGCAGTTTATTTGTATTATTTTTAAAAGAAAACTAAGAGGAAATAAGTTAATTGGGGTGAAAAATACAAACATGACAATACAGTACTCCAGCTTTGACATGAGAGGATTCATTCAGAACATATCATTAGATATTCCCTATACTTCTGTACACATAGAGTATGGAAAAGACCTAACTACAAAGCCTACCTGGGAGGGTGAGGCCTTTCACACCAATTGCATGTGCACAGAAACCATGGTACTGGATTAGCAACTGATCAAAATTATCAGCAGTCTCTGGAAAAAGCCACTCTTGGTTCTTAAAATCAGAAACACTCACTCTGGTTCCTAAGAAAAGGTTTAACAAAGGAAGGATTTTAGTAACAAAACATCAGATGTTTATAATATAATAATGTTACTGAATGACCGGATTACTTTGTTTTTCACAGGATGACCTGCAGTGCCAAGACCCAAAAGCCAAACTTTAGCCTTGCCTTAGAAAGATCCTACTGAAAAATCAGCCCTGCAGGACCCTTCTTTAACAGCATTAGTTTTCTTTGGAAACAGGGGACAACAACAGGAAAGTAATATCTTATTCTTCTATTTTGTTTTCACCCACTCATGCATTACAAATCCCCTGGAGTAAACTTGATTGCCAAGGATACCATCTTACAAATAAATACATCTGGTAACCAAAGCCCTGATAAATTAGCTTTTTTATCCCCCCTCTCCATTTCAGAAATTCTGAAAGGTATAAAAAGACATAAACAAACTTTTAAAAGTAGACATCTTCTTCTCTGATCATTCTGCCACCTTTATATGGTGTGTTTGTATCCAGTAGCTATATTTTAATTTTATATATAAAAATAAAAGCCCAAACTACACTACATGAAAAATAAATCCACACACTACAAGATTCATTTCAATGTACTGTGCAAATTCTGGGTATTAAGAAAATCAATGTGTAGCACCTTCTGTAAAAATTCAAACCACAAAATCTTATAAAATGAAGGAAAATGAAAAAAACAATACTTTCAGTACCCATGGTTTCTTTTATCCTTTCCTCATCACTTTTCACAGTCACTCCTTCCAGAAGAGACATTAGCACTTCCTCAGGAAAAAGCTGTGAATGGATTTCCAAGAACTGTTGCAGGTTGTTAATCATATTTGTGAGGAAGCTTAGCAGTAGCATCTCATTCTGAAAGCTGGTCCAGAGGTTAGCAAGTGCAACAAATAGAGGCTAGAAAATAAAGAAAATTATCTGAAATCCAGTTTTGGTTTATTTCTGCAGTGTAACACCCAAGTGCTCTGCACAACAATCCCTGCTATGAACAAAGCAGGGCTGATCTCTAAGACCTTCAGCGCACGAAAATCTCAGAGGAACTCCTGGGCATTGTAAGATGAGCTCCCATCATGTATGCCCAAAGCATGTACATCCAGCATGTAGGCCCACAGGCCAGAGTAGTACTTTTGAACATTTTACTCCAAAGCCTTTCCCAAATACATTACTCCAAGACCATGCTTGGTGTTGAGCACTTCACTGACAATAGCTTTATAACTGAAAATAAGGTATACAGGAATAAGAAGGACCAGAAGATATGAACCTGGTTAACTATCAAATGAAGTAAAACCACACCGATATGTACAAACTATCAGGTTTTGTTATTCTGTCTGCCCTGCTTCCAGAGTGACACAGTACCACAACCCCCAGGCCATCATGTGTGTCAAATTAAGGAGGTGCAAGCCTCTTCAGAGTGTTACGGGGTTCAGGACAAAACTGGAAGCTGCCATTCCCAGCAGTGATGCTGACATACAGACATACAGACATACAGAAGCAGCCTACAAACTCTTAAGTATAAATACTAATTTCAATGACAGCGACATAAAATGTGCCCTATTACATTTAAACACACAAAGCATTTACAGGAAGAGCTTCAACAAATCTGAAATACACACTAACAACAATATATTTTATGTATGCTAACAACATTATAAGAACAGCCAACAGAGTCAGCTCTGGAATTCATCAGCATCACTAACATTGTGGAAATGTTATGGTTACAAAATTGGAAGAAACTAAGGGAAAGACAGCAAGGTCAAAATCATTCTTATCAGAATAAACAAAGAATATTAATGAAATCTCTGTGTTTCCTAAAACAAATGTTTACTACAAATATAGGCCCTATCATACGTTTTTTTAAAAGGCAGAATGCCCTGCTTCTCTACATCTGTAGAGGAACTAGCTTCTCAGCAACTAACTGAAGAACTATTTAAATGGTGTGTTAATAGAGAAATCTCTACCTGTGAAAGACCTGAAATCAAAAGACATAACATATTTTGTTTTCAGCAGAGAAGAACAACTAACCAACCTGAAGAGAGATGAAAACCTAGGAAGGAAGCAGACAATAGCAGACAACTTCTAGGGAAAAGGGTAACGTCTATCAGTCACTTAAGCCCCGTGAAGATACAGAAGGAGAGAAAAAACTCCTTTGAGCAGCTGCATGAGAGGGGAAAATGTTCTCCAAATGAGAACATCTGGGCTTATAAAATCACAAGCACACATAAACTGAAGTGTCAGATTGCATCTGAGATGTAGCTCAGTTAAAGTGCTGTTCCCATGAGTTTCCAGCTCAGATGCCCTTATAGGAAGTGTAAAGAATTCTCGGGGGGGGGATGATCTTCCTTCCTCCCTCCTACACAGTAGACTTTATTTTGCTTTCTAATTATTTGTTTAGAAGGATGAAGTATAACCTCACAGATGTATGAACTGCATGCTAGTTCAACAGCTAACTACAAGGAATTAAAATGATAGACATATCACACAAAATAACGAGCTCTTCCATGAAAAGCAAATCAAATGAAGCTGTTTTCTGACATATTTCTCTCCCATTTCCTTTACACACTGCCATCAAAATAATCCCAGGTTTTCACAGGGTCATTGGGCACTCTCCTTCACAATACTTGCAGTTCACATCACTCATTCCCTTTTCCTCCACCACCTCCCTCCCATGTCCTGTAGCTCCCAGCTGAGGGTGAAATAGCACAGAACATCGATTGTGCAGAGGTACGTGGCTGCTCACTGGCCAGACAACACACAAAACAGTGGGTAATTATGGCATTCCCATTTCAGACTTAATCTTAGGAGGGCTCTAACTGTGTCTCTCTAGTTGCTCGTTTTTCACAAAACTTGCAGAAAATTATATATTATGAGATCTTTGGACTACGAAATATTTGATTAAAACTGGCCAACAGGTTCAGAAGTTATTGGGAGGGGCAAAGAGGCTGAAAGCCCCTTCACAGAAAGCTGATTTCTTTAGAAAAATTATATGAAGGAGACATACTGTAATTACAGGAATTGCTATCTGAAAGGACTTGAAAAGAATCACACTCTGATATGCCGTTAACTGTCTGTCAGCACTGCGTTCTTACTATTTCTGCAAGGAACAGGAGACAATATTTACACAAAACAGGAAAATATCACTGTACATGTACAAATACTGACAAATGACCCAAGACACTTACAGTAAAATACCACTTAATTCCTTCTCCCCCTTTTTACACCTTGCTTTCCTTCTACCTTGAGATCAAATCTTGTAATTCAGTTGCCCCTTCAATAGTCACAGATGCTGTTATAATAGAAAATAATGTAGCCTTTTTCTTAACAAAAACTATTAAAAAATACGCGGTAAAGTATTTTGTAATACTTTAGTAATTTTTTTATAATTAATAAGAAATAGGGTTTCCATTCAAAATACTTACGAAAACCTCTTTGGTATCCACAGAAGCCTTATTCTGCACTGTGTTTTTCAGCTGCTCCATTGTTGCTGCAAACTGCACATTCATCTTTTCAACTTCTTGAGCACTTGTAATTGCATCCGACTGGAAAGAGAACTTACTTCAGGTAAGAAATATAACAGTCAAAAACCCAAATATTTAGTAATGATTATCTGGATCTCTTCATTCAGGTATTTTCAGACAACTGTTCAAGGAACAAAGTACACCCTAACTTCCCATGAAATACATTTTTCCTTAAGTGTTCAGGTATAAAACCAGGTGCTTCTCTCAAACATATACTAGTAATTTTATAGAAAAACCCTATATTTTTATAATGAAGAGAAGCGAAAAAATATTTAGAAGAGAAACATTTTTCCAAGCTTTATGATATGCAAGAAAAACTAGTAAACCCCTGCAGTTTCTCAAAAGATAAATTACAAGGTCTTCAAAAGAAGACAAGTTTCAAGAATTTAAATTGTATTCTTCAAAGACTTCTGATGACTCTACATCTGTTGGGGATGTCTTGTCTGCAGACTAAAATTGAGGTGATTTACGGATTGAACAAGATTTTTTTCTCTCATGCCTTTAGGGGTAGAGTGACTATCAATATGCAAACAAGAAAAAAGACCTACTTTTTCAGTCCTTTGTAATGAAATTAAACCAAAAAAGGAAACCTCCAGAAAAGAAATGGAAGCATGGTCACACTGCAGCAAACAATTAATCAATTTTGTGGTTTACCTGACAGTAGCCAAACCCAGCAAGTTAGGTACAAAGTTCAGCATGACAGATGATATAGGTTCTCATATATAGAGATGAATCTTATTTAATTTATTTCTGAATCATTTTTATTATATTTCTGTCCATACAAATAGGTAACTTGAACACATTCCATCTGCAATAAAAACCCACAGGAGGTAACATGATGGTATCTCACCAGAAGGATGCAAAGGAAGGCTTCATATTGTCTCACATTGAACAGTGCTTCTTTTAATTTAAAAGAACTGAGCTGTGTATATCTGTGTTGGTCCTCCTGCATCGATTCCAACAGAGCTGTGTACTGGTGGGCTAGTGTATGGCAAGTGTTAAGATCTTCATCGACAACCCGTGTAGCTGATGGAATGGCTTCACTCAGAATGCCTGGCACTGTTTATGTAGAATAAATATGAGATACAAATAAAGACTTATTTAAACCATTACCAAAAGATTACAGTGCAGTATTTGAGCAAAGTAGACTTCCAAAAAAATTTCTAAATTTTGTCCTTATATACATGCATTTCCAAATGTTTGTGTACTAGATTCAACACTGTATCTTTCTAGTCAAGTGGTTCCAAATAGTCAGAATTACAGGTGTGGAAATATCACAGTCAAGTCAAGGACTGTGAGAAAATTTTCTTTATCAGAGACACAGTTCAATTGCTACTACTGACATAGGTTTCCTGAGAGACTTCAGGCAATCTCCACAATTTTCAATTCTCACTTTCTTCATTTGTAAAATACTAGTAACAGTAACAGGCCTCCCATTTCCTGGGCACTTTATGATTAACCATGCTTTAAAAATGAATAAAGGATTACTATTAAAAAACAGAAGATAGATAGTACATGAAAAAATATTCCTATGCAGTTATTAAAATTCAGCATTAGTACTTAAAAAAACCCCAAAATTCAAAAAAATGGCACAGGTCAATAAAACATATTTTAGCTAATAGAAAATATTCTATAAATATTTTTTTTTCCTTTGAATTTCATTATTGATAGCAGACAACCATTACACTGAATGTTTTGATGTGTGTTGTTATTTTAGCAGACATCTATGCAAGGAAATAGAACAGGAAGGCCTAGCTGCTTTAAGTACACAGTACAGTCCTTTGTTGTGTGTGTTGAACTTTTAATGCTAGCAACATTGGCAAGTAGCAGTGCAGTAATTAGGCTTGAGCTATGTCAACTCAAAACCCTGTGAGCACAGAAAGGCTAGATTTAACACAGCAAAAATGGGAAGTAAAGTTGCACAGGCATTACAAGTGGTCTAACCACAGATGGAAAAAGCTTAGTGCTTGGCTAGTTTTTCTGGAAGCAGGCTAAAAAGCCAAGGTGGAGCCCTAGCTAGCAAGACTGCTGCTAGCTCTTAAGGCTTTAGTGGTCTAACTGCTGGCCTTAAGCATAAAGACATCCATTTTATCTCCTGACCTAAGAGCATGCATGCTGTGTTTTTTTCCATCTATTCAAAAGTGATATGTAAACAGGTCAGTGCAAAGAAGTCCATATTATAGTAAGCTAACAAATGTAACAGGATTAACAATCATATTATCTATTTTAATAGATTACAAAACCCACAGATATTATAGAGACAAAGACCACAACATGTTGTAAATCATGCCTTTTGTATAACTGCAATAGTTGAATGCTCCCTCATGCTGTAACCCAGGTCCAGTGAACCTAGAATAGAGCTAGCCACTACATGGAAAGATGACATTTGTGGGAAAGCATATATTATAAGAATAGAAAACCAACAATGCCTTGCTTAGCATGTGAGAAGAAAAATTATCATCACAATCTAGAAAGTTGCTTACTTCTTTCTCTGATGTGGTAGGTATATATTTTTTTCCTACTTATACTGCATTACTTAAAATACCCTTTAGCTAAGCAAGTGCTTTGCTTTCCAAGAAAGCACAATTTTCTTATCAGGAGAGGTATGTGCTGTAGCCTTTATTCCAGAAACTTTCACCTTTTAAAATGAAAGGTTTTCCCCTAGAACCAGGCTGCAGACCTTTCTTACAAAGTCTCCACACTGAGCTACAATACTACATGCATATTCACAATAACATTTCCAGACCAGTCATTTATTTATTAATTGTAAACTTATCAGAAATAACATGGCTTTTGGGCAAAAGAGAAAATAAGACGGATAACAAAGTCTTGCTATACTCTGAATACAGCTTCTGAAAAATTCCAGGATAGCCATTGACATTTTTTGCTCATTAAAGAAGCAGAAAGATTCAAAATGCAAAAGATTTTTGACAACATGTTGAGAATCTGAAGAGATTACTCTGAACTACCAGAATACAGATAATGCCCAGTAACTTTTATCACTTCTCATCACACATACTCAGCAGAAAATTGTAACTGGATTGCCAGTGTCCTTTCAATATTTTAATTAACTGCTTTTAAAGGCAAACGTTACATATTTAATTATCTTAATGGCAAGGGATCAGGGAACAAGCTATCATCAGGTAAATTAGTGCATGAAACTAATACATATAACCCTTCCATATCAATCACATAGGGCTCCATCTTAGCTAAAAAGTAGTAGCCTACATAGAAACCTGTAATCTATACCAAATATGTACTTTTCCTTCAGGTTTACAGATCTTGAGTCAAAGCTGTTTATCTAGAGAGATGGGATATTACTGGAGCCATTCCAGTGAAGGTGGCCAGGAAAAATTAATTGGGACTACACAGCGCAAATACAGTCGTCTACTTACAGTCATCAATGTTGCTTCCTCCTTTCCCACATTCCTTGTTGTACAACCGAATTCCGGTGACCAGCATGGCAAGATTTTTCAGCTGTTGCTCTTTGTTCTTCTTACTGAGCGAGATGAAAGTAATCATCTCTGTCTGGGGCAACACACTCTGCAGGGCAGCTATAGCATTACAAAGCATGAGAAAACTCTCAATATGAGGGAACAGAAAATCATTAAACAAGCAAAAATACTCTCTCCTGAACAACTGCAAATGGTAGGAAATCCATGGCAAATACAGACTTCAGAGCTGAGCACTGACAGTTTGGGCAGTAAGCATTCATCATGGTTTACCACATCTGTATCTAAAGATCAGCAAAGAGAAGGCAAAATTTCATTTTTCAGTAAGAAAAGCCCAATTTCACAGCTGGAAGTTTACTGACCTGTTACCTCCCTGACAACTGCAGCATCGGTGGGGGATCCCAGGCCAGAGCTCAGCAGCACATAGCTAATGATCTTGCGATACACATTCTCCATTTCTTCTTGCACATGGGGACGACTACCTGTGATACCTCTGACCACAGGAGCCAGCCTTCCCTCCAGAACCCGGAGCCGCTCACTGAGTAATTCAGCTAGGAAAGAAGGACAGTTAGAAAGTCCTATCTAAACTCTTTGTAATTTGACTTATACAGAGAGTGTAATTAATTTCCATAGTCAGAACACCAACTTAAGGTTTCTGAAGCACAGGTATGCGCAGCAGATGTTCAAGGTACCATACCATTATAATTAACAGCAGTAGAGCTAAACATTAACATTAATTAGCACAATTAACATCAGTCAGTAGACTCTAGAGAACTAATCATGCCAAATTAAGCAGCAAGTCTCTGACTCTCTGGACTCCTCTGACTGCAGTAGGACCTAACAGACACACATTTCATACACAAAGTTAGACACCCAAATCTGAATACTGCTCAGGATCTCAGAATCTTACTGGACCCAATGAGCTTACTTAACTTATTGAGTCCAGAAGACTTTGGAGCAGCTTCCTAGTGTTGCTAATGTTGGGGTTTAATCCATGCTAACAAGAAAACATTTTCATGATCTCCCCACACAAAATATTTATTTTTTATTAACTTTCGTTCTGTGTCTTCTGTTTCCTAGCCAGGCTTCACTGTCCCACCAAGATCTGAAGTTAGTTACAGCAGAAACATTTTCCCCAACTCATTTTACTTTCACATCCCATTCTTAGACCATATGAAGTTATTAAAACTGTAACTGATTGTTCAAGATTGCTCATATCTCTCAATTAGGAATATCAATAAAAACATGAAGTTCTCTTTCAGATACATGAGTGCAGTTCTGGGTACTGGTTCTCTTTCAGATATACAGGGGCAGTGCAAGTTTTTCTTGCTGAAGGCAGCTAGCCACTGCACCTGAAAGTGTAATTGTTCTCAAGTGATCTAGCACATTGCAACCCGTAAATCTTTCAGACAGGATGAGTGTGCTCTCAAAACTAATGTACATTTTCTCCCTGCTATATCCATACTGAAACACCATACCACTGTATAGTATATTTCTCCAGGGATTTTTATTTTGTTTTACTGCCATCAGTCATTTAACAGGAATCATTATTAGCCCTACAGAGAGAGAGATTAAATTCTAAACTCAGAACAAAGTTCTATAAAAACATTGCTTTATATTGAAATTACCTCGGTTTGCATAGTTCATATCAAAGTAAACTTGCATCTTAATCGTGCTCAGAGATGGGTTTGTTGTGTCAAGCAGCCTGGTAACACAGAGCTAAGAAGAGAGACAGAGAAATGAGTTCTTTCTCATGGCAGGGGAAACATCTGAACTGACAGGGACTGTGCTACAGGTTTCACAACAACAGTTGAGGCCCCTCCCTACCATTCTCTTGACATACAATGAAGTATATGGCATTTATTAACATAATCCAGTCTTTAGCTAAAGAACCATAAGAATAAAGTAGCTTTAAAAATTTGAAAGTGTTCATATCAAAATAAAATGGCATTTTAGTTACAAGAACAGATAGCAAATAATGCTAGAGTCTTAGCTAAGTACTGACTCTCAACGTCATGTCAGAATTACCTGGATGAGATTTTGCACATCTTTTTTGGTAAGGATTTGATCCACACTAAAGTCATTTCTTGGATCTAAGACGACTGCTTTCACCTAGAGATTGCCAAAAGAAAGCTATTAATTTATATCTCAACATACACTCTTTGCAACTAACCTTTTTCTGAAAAATCTCAGATGCAGTCAGTATTTTTTAAAATATTCTTTTTTCCAATCTCTGATAATGAAACAAAGTTACTTTGTTTCGCACATGTTGCCAGTTTCAATCCCAGTTCTCAGACATAAATGGAAAAAAATAAAAATCTGAGATGTAAACTTCATAGACAACTATTTCAATATAGCTCCTTTTAAAATTCACGGAAAAATATTTTTCTAAGTAAAATTTTATAGAAATCTATCATGGTTGTTTACAGACTTCTCAGCTGGTGTTGCATCCATCAGTATAAATGTTTACCATTTGCATTAAAATTTCACAGTGTACTGCAAACAGGGAAATATGTGCGTGTTTGCAACTGGTATGCTTGCTGGGTATCTTGCCAGCCATATGCGAAAGTTTTTTACCCATGAAAATTTTCATGCTTAATTGATTAATACTGCTTCTGAACCCAATGTATTTTTTAAAGCCACAGTGTACAGTGTCACCTTTAGGAAAAATAAATGGCAGACTTAACAGTACTGCTGTGAACCATTTACATTCATATACAAGTTTATCAAGAGCTGATTCTGTTCTTATACCACCAATAAAGAAAGAACCTATCTCCATCTTTCTGCAGACACTGATTTGCAGATGTATTTGGACTATATTCTGCAGCATATTCTGAGATGCCCGAGTGTATGTTTTTTAGGATGCTCATAGTTGTCTACCAAGAACAACACTGAGATTGATTCCATTTAATTTTTAGTTTAAGTGGGATTCAAACCCACTCCTTCAAATATTCAGCCCATTTATACTACCTGGCCCTGCCTAAAACAGAGAAACAAACAAAATAATCACAATAGAAGGAAGAGGTAAACATCAAAGAATAAATATAGCTGCTGTAATAAACATTCACCTATGTGTCATGCCTTTTTGTTCATTTATGAGAGTGGGAAGAAATGTTATTACAACTCGGGAACACATCTTTTTCACTTTAGAAAAAAAGAAAATGTTTATCTGCCTGTAGAAGAAAACTGAGGGGGAACTCTGAGTCAAAGTTCAAAGAGGACCCAGGACTCAGGACCTGCAGCCTTTTCAGAGCCTTATATTCACATAGACAGCATTTCAGAGGAATGAAATGCTTTTTTCAGGTTTTTAGGACCCTCTACTCAATATCACTGAACACCCCTTTAAAACTTCCCAATGGAGGCCAAGATGTTTCGAAGTTCAGGTCACCCTGAAAGCCTCGGCTGCTGCCAACCCAGCCTGTGCAGGCTGCTGTGGAGCTGCCATTTGAATTTTGTTGACTTCTAAGACCAAGGAGTGTTTATGCCCTTACTTCATGTCATTCACTCCTAGCAGTGTCAGTCAGAGACTTCAGGGGAACTAGTCACCGTGTGTAAAATTATACCCCTACCTCATGAAAGCCTTAAAAAACAGCTTGAACCACGGGCACCCACGTTTGAAGCTTCTGTTCTATATACTGTCGCTGTGTATAACTTAGTATTTTACGGACGACAAGAGAATTTAGACTTGATTTTTATAAAAACACCCAGACGAAATAATGAAAAACCCCACCCTAAACATTTAATTTGCACTTACCATGAACGCCACCAAGGTTTCAGAAACAGTTTGTCCCTGGGCGGCACATTCTTGTCCGACTTCACGAATTATTTTCTTAATGACACTTTCGGTCAGGTCACAATCCATACTGGACAAACACACGTTAACGCGAATACCATGTCTTTAGGATTTCGAGTGCGTCTTTCAACGTTTGTTCCCGAGGGGCTGAGGGTGCCCACCCCCTGCCCCGGTGCCGCCGGCGCCCCCAAAACGTCCCGCTCTCGCCTGCCCCCCGCCCGGCCCGGGGCTGCAGAGGGCGGGAGC